TAGAATTCTTGCCACCATGAGCACCGCCATCATAGTGACCATTTTCATTTTAAAGTTCGAGTTGGAAGTAGTAGGCGTTTCCTATTTCAGATGCAACAGAAGCACCGTTTACGGAGGTCATTGTGTACGATTATAGAAAAGCACATGGTTAAATAAATGTCAGTCAAACCAAGCCAAATGAAAAGCATACAAAACGACTGGGAAAAGTACAGCAAAGATTGTAACCTCAAGCAAAAATTTCTGATTGGACCCAAATAAGAATGGGATTGGTTCCTGCACCCGTACATTTTATTCCATAAATATTTCACAACGCTCTTATTCCAAAAATCCACATCCCAGCACTAGGGGGGAGAGGAGATTGGTAGAACATTGGAGCAAGCATTTTTCTGTTGTGTAATATGCTGTCTCGTTTTGTCACCCACTGTCTGTGGAATTTCATTGGGTATTTGTTTAGGTCATGAAATCCAGTCCGTCGAGAGGGCGATATCATATTGGTGGCGCGTACGTTAGGTTACTTTAAAACAACACACTGAGTAATCTCAGTTGTTGAAGTCACCGACGCCCCACGTCCTTTGAATCACGAGTAGCCTAAACCTACTCTCGAATGATGCTTTATGCCGAGGGACTCCGAGTGTACCCTAGTTTTAGATTTCCAGCCGTGTGCGCACTCCGATGTGCCCACTGCGCCCCAGTGCTCGTTCAAACAACGGCTGGGCCTCAGTCACTTCCAGTCCAATTGTACTTTTCTGGTTGCCTTCAGGCCCAGCGGGTCCCACCGGAAGCCTCACCAATTTAGTTGACCTGCGTGGGTGTTGGTCGTAAATCGGAGCCTTCAACTGATGTAACCACCTAAATCTTCGCCACAATACCTAATTTTAAAATTTTTATCTGTCTCAGTTCGTAAGGGACGCAAAATCCATGTTTTTGACAAAGAAAAAACCTCAAAATTTATTGCGATGTCTGTAAAGCATTTTTCAATTTAACCATTTCAGAGTTGAAAATGCAAGCAGAAAATGAAGCCCAAAGGCTTCACCATGTGTATGTTACAAACCACATATCTTAGTGATTGAGCATCTAGTCATTTTCAAATTACCAGCCAGCATGAGCCACGTGGAAGGCACAACACTCACACATGGTGCACTCGAGGTTGGTTGATAGTAGTAGGGCTTGTGATTTTACCTATTTTAAATCAATAATTTCTAAGTCAATGGATGTTAAATAAGTCTAAAGCACAAATTGGAATGCATTAAAATGGTTAAAAAATAATTCCTAAATATCCTCGTCACTTGTGAAATGCGTTGGGCATTTTCAATTTCAAGTTGGATAGTAATTCAGGTACTTTAGCTTGCCGCTGCCAAAAAGCCCTACTTGGGATATTAATGGCCTGTAGACAAAAACACAAAAAAGCATGTCGTGAATCGTGTTTGTACACAGTCCTTAATCCGGTCGCTCCATCCTCCGACACAGGGTCCCTCTTTTCGCAGCAGGTCGCCAGCCGCGCGGATCGTCAGCTCCCCGCCTCTCTCATTCGCACAAATATTTATCTGGATTATCCTTACGCCTAGGTCTTGATGTTAGCGCATCTATGATTCACGCGCAAACCCCACACACGACACAACAAAACCCACGATACGGCGATACTAACCTGGTTGAGCTCCAAAGTAAAAGGGCGTGTCCCGTCCTCTCCGGTCTTTTTCTTTATCGCGGGAATCAGGAAAGCGTAATCGAGCCAGGGTTAATTCAGTGGCCCCGGCGTGGTTCAAGACCACCTGATGGGGCCCCCGACAAACACGAGTTTTTCCTAACATAGCGCACAATGACTCGTGCACTATTAAATTCGGCTCATATTTTTCAGTCAACTGGACGCTCAAACACGACTCGCTGCCTCCTCTAACCATCATCTCTGTCTTATTGGAAAGCTCGCAAAATGTTGCCTTACGCAATTTAGAGTTTTCCAAACACGCCGCGAAAACTTGAGCCCTACTGTTTAGTTTCTTTGCACGCATTTGATAACTTGCTTTTTGTGTTAGCACCCTAAATAACCCACGTTAATTCAACATTAACACCAATAATCGTCTAGGGTTTTCGATGCTTGAGTATGCGTTTCTCCACAAGGTGGATGCTCTTTGCTGAATCTACTTGGTTTCGGAGAGCGGCACCGAGCAACTCCGAGTGGAGTCACGAGAAAATCGATGCCACAAAACGCTCTTCGGCGTGCGTGAAAAATGCGCACACGGCGGCAGCACACACACCGGCACGAGGTTCCGCATTGTGGAGCGTAATTTTAAATAGCACTGCAACAAAAAGCATGGGATTACGCCTGCAGGGAGCGTCTTTTGGAAGCATAAATGGCGCTACATTATGTCGTGACAGCGCCCTTAACCCACAGACCAAAGAGTAAAATTTTGGAAAGAAATGTGAACACAAAATTAACTATTCGCTAAGGAAACCTGGGGATTTAAGTAAACTTTGATTTTTAAGTCTTTTGGTGGTCCAGGTTGAAGTTGAAATTCTCCTGTGAACAGCAGGAAACGCATTCAAAGCACTCATATTTTAAATCTGCCTTTTATGTCGTAACAAATTAAGGTAAACTAACCTTGAAGAGCTTCATCATGTTATAAAGACTCTACGGTTGTGTTAAAATCATTGTACAACTGGTTAGGCATGTGTCTTAAAGGAATTCTTAATTTCCACATGGTGTAATCGCTCACATAAGTGACTAAGTCCATCTGGTTAAATAAGTTTATGTTTCTAACCGCATTTTAAAGGAACACAAATCACTTTATTATGGAAAAAAGAATGTGAAGTTTTGCTCCTGCATTAAATTTCTTATCTCTTGTGTGCATCATTTTTTAGCATAAATAAATTCGAACAGTTTTTTTGGCACGGAAAGGAGAGCTTCCTGCGCAACCTGAGTTGATCAATTTAGAATGTCCTGTTTTTTAAAGTACAAATATCGTGGTACTTAAAACAAATAGTAGATAATTGAGATTGCCTTAATAATCTCCGGAATCCGCCCAAGTAGGTTTATTCAAAAAACTTGCTGCGTCAAAACATCTTTCACAAGACTAAGTGACAAGGTATTTGGCATTAAAAGGTAGGAAAACGTCGACGATAAGTGTATTCGTGTAGTAATCCACTTCACATCGTCCAAAGCTTCGCTAAGTTGATGTGAGGAAGTCTATCTAATGTTACTCATCGCTAACGAAATGATTAAGACCTGTGGGCTAATGGGCCTTCAGTAAAAGCATGGACAGAGTCGCTATTCCTCTTACATAAGCAATGCTTGTGATTCAGGGCGATGACCATCTGAATATGTAGTAAAACCGATGTAAGTAGTATATTTGCTCAGTCAGATATACTACAGATTGTAAAAAAGGTAATTCGAACAAAAGAAGCTACAATTATATGCACACAAGAATTTACACAAAAAGCGCTTTTAAAGTAGAGAAAAACAGATGAATCTGTAATTGCATACAATCTTCACAAAGTAAGGGGAAATGTAAAAAAAATCACTTAAACCATGAAAGACTTCAAGGTAGTTCTCGGTTTGCACACAATTCCAATTTGGCTTCGATTAACAGCATCAAAAAATACACAACGATCTTTTTGTACGTGTCAAAATCCCCACAAAACTTTTTTGTGAAACTGAGATCGATAACTGTTCAATATGTATTTCTCTTCGTGTTGCACACAATGTACTGAGTATCAATACTCCAGTCGTCACATCATTTCGGAAGCCAAACTCGAGACTCCCCAGTGACAGCTCCCAACTCTGTCCAATCCTCTTAGTCCACTTCGTCAAGGTCACCTAAATTGTCACGCTCGAATTTGGCCGGGGCTGCCAAGGCTCGCTGTACGAAACCTTGTCTTTGTCCTAAACCAGGAGGCTGGGACTTGCGCCAGACAAGGGAGTCGCGCATTGATTCTCGGGGGAAACAGCAAACATGTAGACTGTCGCAATGCTCGCCACCAAGCGATTAGGTAAGGCAGCCAATTGAAGGCCAATGCGCCCACAAACGCACGAATTCATGTTCCTATTCTCCGTCAAATAAGCACCTAGGTTTCTTTGATGTTGTGTCTTCAAAAAACAGAGACCACTGCATTTAATTATACGTTTTCCTCGGTTAGATGTGGCTTGAATTGTGGAGGGACAGAAAAATGATGGGAAAACTCTTGTTAGAAGGTCGAAGAGCTCACGTCCAGTGAGAATCGCCTATCATTGCAATTTATTTACTCAGATAGCACTTAGGCATTGGCGTAAGGCGAAACGGTGCCTCTGTCACTGGTCTCAACCGGATGTTTCCACTTGAAGATTCTACTTCACATTTTGTGATTCATTACACCAATGAGTGCCCTTTAAAAATCCTTTGTTTTTTTAAATGCACACGACCACATTAGTCCTTTGTGTTTTATCTTGATAGTCGACTTAACCAAGGCATTATCTTTATTGCACTGGATACTGTTGTGCCGCAGATTACCACGTGACTTATATAAGGCTTGGGTTAGTTTTAACAAGGATGAAGAGATGCACGAATTTGGTGTGTTGTTTTTTGCTAAAGCAGCTCAGACAGTGTGCTCCAGAGTAAACCTGGAGTCTTTTACTCTGCGAAAATAATGTTTTGTAGGTAAATTATTATTATTATATTGTGGATGCAGTAAAGGAGCACGAAGATTTCACACCCTTACTTACGAATTCGTTTTGGCACTAATACCACGCCTGCCATTCTATTTACATTTGTGTAAACCGGAACTGAGTAGCGGGTTAAACGTTATCGTGGACCATGAGTCATTCAAATTTCCCGCACTATTCAAAGCAGTCATCATCACACCCTGCCCACTACTAGCCGAAACTGCAGACTGAACATCTACGTAAATGACAGCAATCAGTAAGCATTTCGGCCTGCCAAACACTTCATATGCCTTTAAACCTGTTCACAGGGATTCGCATCCATTTCCAGTTGCGATCGTTAAGTAATAGGCCCAATTCTTGCGTGCAAATGGCCACCAGCCAATGCTGGGTCGACCAGCTGACAATGTTGGTTGCACGGGCGCACGCACGCAAATCCAAATCGCCACATGCTGATTCGACAAAAGCTCGCCACCATTCGGTGGGCAACCGGGGTGTTTGGCTGTTCCCTGGCTCGGCTGCTGGAGTGTTGTCTCTTCAAACCAAATTTTCCCGTCTGGAGGCGTTGCTGCAGCATTTTGCGACCCAAGAGCCGGTACGTTTACAGACCAATGATTGAAGTAATTGCCCGCGGTGTAGTCGAAAGTTTTATACATACTTGCGGTATTTCATTGCTAATTTTTTTATTTGGTGTGAAAATGCTGTATAATTAATTTATCAATAGTGTGCTTTCCTCCAACCAGTCATATTACTTTTAGCAGCAATAAACAACTGTTTCATTCTTCATTGGCAGTATGTGTGGCGTGACGAAATGCTAATACCGAAATTAGGCCAACTTAAGCGTAAAATGTCAACGCTGGGCATCTCACACACGTTCGAGCAAAATTAAAGTTCCATTCAAAATAGTTGTGTAGGTGTTTAACTGAAACCTTGGTCTGACAAATAACATGATTTTGATGTCCCTGATTGAGTCCAATTCCATCGTGATATTGGGTGTGGATGTTTTTAGGTTCCAAAATTTCTGCCCCTCGCAGTTTGTCAATCTGTTTTATCGTCTTTATTTCTATTAATATCTTAAACTTACTGAAGAATGTTTTTTGAAGAGAGTTTCATGAGTATAATGAGTCACTTCTCTGACAAAGCTAATACCAAAATGAATTGGGCAGATAACCGAATAATCCGTTCACTGGAACCTGGTCCCATCAGATTTGACTCAATTTTCGACTTCTCAAATACTACAGATGACTATTTTTATGCATCCGAATTTATGCTTAGTTTCAGTGAGGCGACAGTTGTTAGGACCGAATCTGCTTTCTTATTGCTCCATATCTATTCTGTAACGCCATATTTTTTACTAAATGTTGTTGTTGAATGTTGTGAACCCTTCTTAGCTTAGCCTGCAGAAAATTACCATACCCAAATTGCACCCATGGGAATGGTCTTTCGCTCTGTCAATCGATGGCGAGAGTTGTGAACTCCATGCAGTCAAATTTGAGTGTACATTTTCCTACTTTGCTTATAAATCATAGACGACACCAGCTTCGCAGTCAAAATTGAGATCTTAATTGGGAAATGTCACGCGATTTCACCGTCGAAGAGTCTAAGTCTTTTTCAAACTACGCCTTTTCGGTTAAATTATTGCCAACAGCCATGGTCCAGCAGACTGCAGCTAAATTTAGTTGATTCAGATCACCAGTATAATTATAATACTAGATGTAGTAAGTTGTTGATTTTCTTCCTGTTGGCGATAATTGCTCTAACGATGCGCTGCCTTCAGTTAGGGAACTATTATTTTTGTTCTCGAAGCAGAAGACGCCGCGTCATCAAGGCAAACAAAATATGTCAAATGATATTTTTAACACTGGATGTTCAATTTCTGTTTGCAAATAGCACGGGTTCACAACAAGCACTTGGTAGCAGTTTGAAACGACTAAAGTGCAGCGTTTTAAGGGTGTTTGCGCGAGTGATTTTAAAATGTTTGGAAAGCAGTAAAACCATTAGATTTCTCAAACTTAGATTCATGAATGAAGCACCTCAAGCATATCAGTAACCTGAAAAAGTTGGGTTTTCTTGAGTCGTTTGGGAAGAGACCTTCTCCACAGACCTCGCTAGCGCAATGGACGAATCAAGTAAAACAAATTAGGCAGAAGAACTCCGCACAGATGCTGGTTCTTTAGTTTCGAGTGTATCAAAGTGTTTGGGTAGAAGCTCTCGATCTGATTTAATCCATTTTTCTTGGGACAGTTTCGAACATTTTATATCAATTAATACGTTCAAACGGCAATGACATGAACAAGACTTACTCGATCACAGGTAGATGTGGCCAAGGTTGTTCCTCATTGATTTTTTCCGTAACCATTGCCAGCAACTTTAACACAAGGAGTAAAAGCTGTGTCACAGACTCTACGCTTGCGATAGATCGTCTTCAAAATACAGAACATTATGAGTTGCCATTGTGTGCAAGCGTTCATTGGAACATCTTCCTAAAAGGTAAGGTGAGTTTGACGGTCTAAGGGACTTTTCGACGACTTAAAAGATTTTGTTGGGCTTCCCATTTATCATTTTAACTTCCAAATTGTCATAGAAAGACCGCTAAGTGTAGCGTTTCAATGGAAGGCTAGCTGGGACACGCTCTATTTGTCAGCCCCCACAGCCCTGCACCAAAACGCTTGCCATAATGCAGTTGCGCAGTGAAGTAGATGTCGCCGCGCGTCACTCCTTGATGCAGGTCGGTGCGTCTGCATGGGCGAGTGAGGAGGCGACAGCCAGAGATCAAACTGACACGCGCGTTCCCCACTGCCAGCGCTGCGTTAGTGCGCTCTTGGCGGAAATCGGACCCCTTCGATTGCGACAGCAATGACGAACTTTGCCTAACTATGCCCATATCAGATTACTCTTCTACTTGCATGCCTTAAATTGCGCTTTTTTTAAACCGACTGTATAGGATGTGGCGCATGGTTTTCAGCAAGCATCACATTTTTCCCAAAAAAACATTATGTGAGGAATGGAAATGTTCACCTATAGGGGCATAATGACATGCATTCATCTTGGCTGCATCTGTTGCAAAATTGTGGCTTGGCGGTTGAATTTAGAAGTTGAAGGTCAATGTTCTTTCAGGCGTGTCTAAAGAGAAGAAAATCTTTCATCCCCCAATCGATTTCAAGTGCTAAACTTATTTTCATCCCGACAACGAGGTTGAATATTCTAAGGAAAGATAAGGCACTAATCCACACCTTGACCACTGCTGTTCTCAAGATTGCAATTAAACCCAATGCAAATTTCAAGAGGTTGTATGATTGCAAAAGAACCATTTAAGATTAGTATAGCACCACGGTTAATGCAGCTTAATGTCATGTGGCTAAATAGAAGACTCGCAAAAAATAATGATAGTCGATTAAAGCTGTCGCAAATACCGGCCTTCTTAGTACCCAAGAAGTCATCTGCCAGATGACTATTCAGCTCCGGCTATCGAGCCATTCCACTTTAAGCTACCTCGAGCTTTGAAATGGGTCCAAAACAAAGGCGCAAAAGGATACACCAACGTCACCCAATGTGGTGCACTTTGCATGTGCGAAAGCGGAAATCCTCCAATTAAACCGGGCTTGAATTCCAAGTTCGTAACGGCCTCAACTGTAGTGGCATGATACTTGCCACGGAGGTATTCGGGGGTGCTCATTGGCTCCGTCTGGTCACAGGAAATCCCTGGCAAATTCGCATTATCGTAGCGCAGGTCAAAAACCACGCAATCGCCCTGATTCTCCACAGGAATGATTTGAGACATGCAATTTCTTTCATGCAATTGCTGGAATTTTTGTTAACAGCACTCTTCATACTTTTATTACATAGAATTCTGACACATAGACTTCTCGAGCACCGTAGTTGTTGTTTGTTCCCGAACCATACGTTATCACACATTTTCGATGCTAGGTCCGCGATTAATTCTGTTAGTGATCTATTTTGCTCTAACCAAGTCACCGGAAGTGACCAGTTAAAAGCTAGGAAAAGTGTAGACGACGTTGAAAGGAACGTCAATTTCTGTTTTTTTAGATGTCAAAGCAAATAATAGTTTTGTCTGGCCTTTTGCTTCTGATGGAAATAGTTTCCGCATCGACTTCTACGAAGGACCAGTTACTCAGATCACCGAGACAAACGCCAGCCATGTTTACTATAGGTAAGTGTGATTCGACTCATCGAGGTATGTTTTGTTCATTCCCTGGATATCAAGCACTGGAAAGCACCAAGTTGTATGAAACTGCGGTATTTTTTAAACAGAAGTCTGCAGCGTTGTACCGACCAGCAATGCCTCACTTTAAGTTGTTGTCACACTGTGGGACTGAGGACCCGGGTTTTGCTCATGCATAAAACGTGGTAGCACACTTTATTCGTCACTTCGGTAATTCCGATATTCAAGGTGATTGCGAACCAAAACAATTTATGCACCATCTATTTGACGATTTCAAAGTAACTTGTTTGTCCAATCAGCATTACATCTATCAACGTAAGTATTATGATCGACAGTCGAGTCGGTTGTCATAGTGTTGAATTCTATGAAATGGTTGAGTTAAACCAGATTTCCTTCGACTACACTTCACGCCTAGTGTTGTCTGAGGCAGTGGATCAGTTGAATCTGATCGAGTATTTGACAAAAAACTGTAGCGGCACGATAAACTACAAAGTATTCAAGACAGAAATACGAAAGCAGGAGAAAGAGACAGTCATTTATTGAAGGTGTGCGTGCATTCCCAATCGCCCATGGCTATAGTAATGTTAACCCATGCGGTTTGGATGACCTTTTAAAAGTACAAATGACTGAATGCCACATGATTGAACGGGCAGCTGGGGGGGGGGGTCAGACAGACAAGCTGGACGGAGACATAAAAGAACGTGAATCAACCATTTGCACTACCAGACTAATAATCGATTCTCCTTTCTCAGCCCCCGTTACAGATTTAGAAGACAACGCGTATCATCGTGAATCTGGTAACTGTTTGTTTTCTACTCTGCTTTTGGATTTGCAGGTGCTCTCCTCGACTCCAAGGACCATGGAACAGAACAGGCTATCAAGAGTGGTATTCGGGGTGTGAACTTTCTGGCCTCTCGGGTCGACAATCGAATTCAACAACTACTCAAACCAGAGGTTATTTGGATTCCAAAGGAAAGGTTTTTCACAGCAACCAACGATGGTAAGTGTCCACTTTTGAAAGGATCATCAATTTTGTTCTTTGGGGATATCTCTTAAAATCAGGATGGACATTCGTTTTCATTGATTTAGTTCTTGTTCCCCTCATCTCACCTTTGATTGAGGTAGTGTTTTAAGTATACATGTGACACTGATTCGTGCCTTGTTGTGCGAACAGCTACGGTCAAGATTTAACATGCGCATTCTCTCTTTTGAGTCGCCTACGTTGTGAGGTTGACCTTACATGCCTGAAGCCTGCACATTCACATTTAACGTGTGCCTGGATAAAAGCAATAAGCAATTGCAGGTAGTTATTGGAACGAAAATGCAGTTTAGATTTTTGACACAGTTTGTCAAAATACCAATGAGGATTCTTATCATCTACTGGCAATCAGTAGGTGTAGCGTTTATATGAACACCTCAACAATAGTTGAAACGCAAGTATGCAACACGGCATTATTTACGTGGTCAATATTGTTTTAAATATTAAAAAAAAATTGCTTGTAGCATTACTAACACAGCGCAATGTAATAGTAAAACAAAATATTAAAAAGACAGTGAAAATCTCTCTTTCTAAACATCTCATCTGTTTTGAGAGGGAAATTAGCTTCCAGGCTCAAGCCCCACCAATTCCATTTACTTGGAACGAAATATGGTCGGGGCGGGATATCAAACATTTCGGTGTCTCTTTTTTATGCCTTATCTACCAATCAGTGAACTGCCGTAGTGATGTTTCAAATAACAGATAATGGACCCTGTAAATGAGGTTCCTTTCGTTTGACAATTGTTAGACTGATGAAAGACTGTTACCCCAATAAATTCCTTACAGCGTCAGTTCATAGCGATTTCTTGGCTGCAACCAGACCTTTCGTTTATCATTTCTTCCTACCCCATAATTTCACGGAAAAACCCAGATCCTGGTGAAGCCTATTATTCGTTAGAGTTTATTTCCGATCTGTAATGCATTCTTTGACCTAAATGTTCCACCGGACATCTTTTATTTGAAAAATCATTGATTCTGTAATTCAACAAATCAATTGACCAATAATTCGACTTTACTGATAACAAATTGGTGGCTTTCGTAAGTCAAAATTTGTAAGGTCTAATTTATGATACCAATAAATGTAATTTCAGTCCTGCAGGGATGTGGAAATATGTCTAATAGGGCCAGACGCATTAGAGTTTTTCCTTATCAAACATGCAAAACGTTCTCGTGTCTATTATAGTCTGCAACTTGCTGAAAACAGGGGTCGTTGCCTTCGTCTCCCCTCGTGACCCCCTTATCAGACAGTCCGTCAGAATGGTCTCAAAACAATTCAGTATTCCTCTCATCGAGACACACTGGGACACTGACAAATCTAACAACCGCTACTCCATCAATGTTCACCCAGCGCATGACGCTTTCGGGGAGGCTGTCTCTGAGTACCTATCTAGCTATTCAAAGTGGAATCATGTAGTCCTCATTCTGGCTGATTACGAAAGTGAGTTTTGTTTCAGTAGAATGCATTCTGCATTATGATGGGATGGTGTAAGTTTGTCCAAAAAATCTCAACTGCAGTCAGTGAAATCAACAGTCTTATTGTTGTTTCCAACCGAAAAGGCGTGATCTTTCTAATTGATTCGCCAGCACACTTCATATCTCTTAACTTGATGTCTATTAGACCGTTCTAATGCTGGTGGAATCCACTTTTTGATTGGGGTTTGAACCGAAAAAAAATTGGGCAATGTATAAATTATCCAAAGGTATGCGTTAAAAGAATTTCAAACCGCATGCAGACATAAGTTGAAATTATCGATCGAGGGGGGTATTTCCACAAGGCATTTGTTTGAACCGGCGATGATTTTCTGAAAACAGTTGCGCGTGAACTACATAAAACCTCTAATTTTATATTTAAAAGAAGAATGTGCATTATTCCACAATAAACTTTGGATTCATCTTGGAATTTTGCTGCAAGTTTACATAGATGGCCACCATTGTCAAATGCTTAGTATTTAAGTGTGAAACTGCTAATAAAATCTTTAGTGCAGATTCTTCAACTTTCAACTCACACACGCAAACACGCAAAGTTGGCTCTTTGGCAATTATTTTCGTGGTTTCGGAAATCTAAACGGCACACTTTGCCAGTGTGGCCGAAAACCTGGCTGAGTGAAATGCGAACGGATTCATCTGATAAGGCGGCGGTTGTGGTATGCAGCCATGAGCTGAGTACCAGGCTTCACGCGAGATTCATCTCTTTTTCGAAACCGAGTTTTTAATTATGCAACCTGAAATTAAAATTCCAATTGGAGCTTCAAACGCAGACTTTGCAGATCCACATTGAATTAAATCAGTTATTAGTGAACCACCAAACGGATGACGGCCTATTTGTGTGCACCCGAACATACTCCATTTAAATAAATTGAACGAAATATAAAGGAGAGACAATTGGTGGCTTTGACTGGAACCTAATTCGGGCATACTGACACCTTTTCCAGCCCCTACTAAACTGCAGCCTGGCTTGGGGGCATTACTTATTTTGTGCGCGTACAACACGACACCCGTGATTTGGGGCATTTCAAGTTGTCATTGGTCTTTTTCCTGACAGTACCACAGGCTAAGCTAACACCATGCGGTGACAGGGGTGTGTGTGTGTGCCCACGTTCTATAATGACCTGACATATCTGGCAATAGCTTTGTCGATGAAATCCAATGTGATTCTGGTTGATTTGGCATCATATGTTTATCTGTGAACATTTCCTAATATGGTCCAAATGCTGATTTAGGTTTTAAAAAGGTTATTGGTTTTGTTTATCCAAATACAACAAATTCCAATAGCAATGGGAAATAAAATCGAAGTACTTATTTCTACGATTGTGGGTGCAACTAGCTGTTATGCATTGATTTCGCTTATCTTCATTAGGTTAGCTAATTAGCTGGCTTTTTAAGTGGAATAAATGAAACTGATTTATGAGTTACATGATTTGAGTTGCCGTCCATAGTGTGACATTTTGCTTAACATGTATTAGGCGTCCAAAGGCCATTTAAAGCATGCGATTCTTTCAACTATGAAGATTTTGGATGTGTCTTTACATTGGTTTGCACAGTCAAATTATTGGTTCTAATTTTTGTGGCTATTTTACACCAGCGACTATAAGGACCCTTTTTTGATTTGCAGGTATTGTTAAACACGCCGCTTGGTTAAACAATTTCGAGGGTACTCTGGTTGTTCGAACCCTTGGTCCAGATCGATCCAAGTGGAAGGCTATAATTTCAGAGCTCGCAAACACTGATGTTCGCAATTACCTTATTGATATTCCATATTGGTATGCCAAAGATTTTCTCGTCTTGGTACGTACTTTCTTTTACGTACTCTGGATTTGCGGTTAGTGGTAATTTATTTGAGGCAACTTTTATTCGTATGGTTTTGAAATGCTTCAAGAAGGATAACCAGTTTTCATGTAATGTTTGGACCTGAAACTTCCCTGCATTATTCATTGGCTTTTATGCACGCTAGTCGCATTTGGAACAGTTAAAACTAAAGTATTGAGGTCTTTGCGAGGATCCACTTACCTTCCTCCCTCAACTCGAATGCCCAGAAAAAACTTCTAAAATCCGATGTAATTTATCCTTGACTGCACATATTTTTATAATTTATTCGAATCCAGCACCTGTAGGTGCATTTGAGTACGCTTTGTTCACTGAAACCAAAGTCGAACCAGGGTTTCGCATTCAAATGCCGTTAAATTTACCCATTTCGGAACTCCATAAGCCTGCTCAATACATACAAATGCAAGAATCTAGGTCATACATAACGAAAAGTCACTGCGATTCGGTGAAATTACTCAAGACAGTTAGTTTGGTTAAGTACTTGATTATATTGGTTTGTTTTAGGCAGTGGTTAACGTGATTTTCAAGTAGAGACTTTCGGTAAAAGAAAATTACCGGTAACCTTTCATTGTTTTTTGTATCTCAGGTTGTACAAAAAAGTGCTAGCATAGGTTATAGAAGAAATTAAGCAAGTATGATGCAGCTACTAGGAATTTGGGTAGAACTCTCTTATTATGCGGTTTCAAATTTGACCAAAATTGAGAACAATTATGAACTAGCTAATTTGAAAACTCTAGAATAACAAGCCATATTCTTTTTGTTCCCCTTTTAGGCCTACGTACACAACATGACAGGAGAACAATACAACTATGTTTTCTCTGACTGGGTTAGTTAACTTCTATTTAAGCGTATAGAATTTTATCTTATTTCCCTGTTGGGTGGCTATTTAAAGTAATTAATTTAGTGTAAATACTATTTCGGCCGATTATATCACGTAAATTAAACGATGCAGCACGTAAATAGTTATTTTAATCATTAAATTTATTTTAGTCGTTACACTTCGTTTCTATGCCGATAGTAAAAGTGCAATGGTTGGGCTTAAAATGCCTGACGGATATCGAGATAGCAGCTGATTTTTCATCCTTTGAAAGCGACTGAAACGTGTGACTCCTAAAGAGAAAATACACTGTCGGACCAACCAAACAGCATAATTCAGTTTGTGACAACACTCAGCCGCCGAAAGTAGACTAATATAACAGGTAGTGGTGAAAAGTTTAGGAACAACCAAGATTCAACTCTTGAACCAAAAAAATAGAAAATTGCGGATCCCGCTGAGGATATGAAGTAAAATAATCTTTTTGATAATAAATGACGCTTATGAAAGCTGATAACTTTGATCTCCTGTAGTTTACATCAATTTTTAAAACACGAGTATAGTAACAGCAAAACGTAATCAAAAGCTACAAATTATTGCCTCAACCCAATATTCTCGATGATTTGAGTGGCCCACAGCTACGAATGGTTGTTATTTTGGTCCTAGATTTTGTGATTTGTTAAATCGTTGGTAGCGACATATAATCTTACCTGCTAAATGTAGGACATTCATCTTCTGGACATGAACGCTTTCAAGATATCAGATGGGGCAAGTATTTCAACCTTTTCAATTATTCCCAACGTTGGCGTTAATGAGCCATACAGGCGCGGTCCGACTGTCGAGAGTTTACGCTCAACGATTAACAAAATCGAACGAGCACAAAGGTCTTCCGATATTCTGCCATTTTTAACGGTAATTCCACTGATGCAGACACTTGCCTTTATTGATTGTTGAAGATCTCAACCTGTTTGATTAATGCCTAAACCCAGAGATATTTAGCTTGTTAGAAATAATTATTTGATTTTGAAGCGTAGTCAGCCATTTTTTTCTCATAAAAGTATTCGCTGTCGCCTGAGCAATTGCTGTCCACCGAAGTAAATGGGAGTCATAAAGGCAGGCATTCTAAACGACCCCACAGTAGACCAGGACCAGATATAAAAACGATTGTCCTCATACTTTGATTTGGTTCATTGGGAATAAAACAACATCAGGAGCGCCAGTGTTTACTTCTCAATTTTAGTTGAAGCCTACAATTGCCTAATACAATGGCTCTAGGCATTTCCACATAGCATCCATCTATGACCTACTTTCATAAATAAGACGTTTCAGCTGCCTTGATACACCGAATCCCCTCGGTACGTAGCGAAGTTGTGTAGGCGACACTTTGTGAATGTGAATCAAGCATGCATCCTTCTTTCATGTCGTACAGATACTACTGATAAAGCCATAAACGTAGGCTGTTTTTTGGTAAGTGTTTGAACAACTTTTAGACTTCCGCCTCCCTTATCTACGATTCAATGTTGCTGTTTGGATGGGCATTAATGAATGAAAGAGATAACGTCAGTGCACAACCGGGAGCTCTTGGCTGTGACACAAAAAGCTCTCCCTGGCACCACGGAGAACAACTGGTAAACGCGACGAAATCTGTAAGCTCTGTAATTTGGCCTGTTTTATTCCGTGACTTGGAGTTCGTTTGCTTAAAACGGATTTGCTATAAAACAAACTTCAAACCACGCCCACCACTGCCTTCTTGCATATTTCTAATTTGAACATTTACAGTAGGTCAATATACTTTTACCTGTTAAACCCGATTTTATTCAGCAGTTCTGTACCTACGGCTAAATTTTGACAGTTCAACATATGTTCGGTGAAAGAGTATTATTTCAATTAGCCACAAGGGTATTTAACATTATTTATTAAAGCTTTTGTTTTTTACATGTACTTTTAGTCTGCTAGTCAAAAAATGAACAATGTTTTATCCGAGGCTTTCCCTCACGCACTCCCGTTGCCTTTTCAAAAGCAAATGAAAGCCAGCAAAAGGTGATTTTGGAGCAAGATTGCACACTTTAATTACAATTTAAATCACTTGTACGAAGCATTCAGAATAAACACGTTGATCAGCAAAGGCGTAGCCAATGAGTTACATTTTTCCAACCATGCATCAAATGAGTAAATGAGTAAATAGGATTCAGTATTGCTTTGAGTTTCATCCACATTGCCCAAAAGCTCGGTCTTGTTAAACCTAATCCACCCACTTGTACGACATCAACTGCGCACTTAATTATCTTCGCAAATCAGATTTGGCCCGAGGCAGGCAATCGAGAACATTAATCCCTTTCGGAATTCCTCTTATCTTAGTCCTGTCCTTCGGCACCGCCGCGAACGACAGGGCCATCAATTTGTACAATTTGTGCTTGTAATCCTTGATGTCGTGGCTATCTATTTCCAAATCATTCTAACTGATAATCACAAATGTGATTATGAAATGCAAGCTCAAGCCAGACAACATGTTTATTTCATAGAATTATTGTGATCCTAGCGTATTTTGGAAGATTTTTTCAACGATGTACCTTCGTGAGCAATAAAAGTTTATTGGATAAGCAGCAGCAATCAAGTCCTCTTAAGAAGAGGTCCTCATTGAGACGATCAATAACTTTTGCTTAAAAATCTAATAAGTATAAAAAAAGTTTTTTTTTTTAAAAATTAAGTTTTCTGGAAAAGGACAAAATGTGGTTAACTGCAATTTACTGCTTTACTCTTCTACTACTTCAATTTACGGCTTTTTGTTGCTACGACTTCTCAATGTTTAGCTTGGCTGCTAAAATGTGCCGAATACAGGTAAAAATAAGTATTTCGAAGCCAAAACATGAGGTCAGCAGAGGGTAATCAGTAAGAGATTGTCCCAACAGCTATATCTAAAGGGTTTTAGTAGCGTTAACCTCCTTTTTTATTTCACATTTGTTTACAAACCCAGCTGCTCTGCTCAGTCTAACTGCACTCCGTAAATTTCCTATTGCAATCAACACAATGACACATGAAGAATAATGAACGGTTTTGTTCAAATTGTGTGCTGCCGCCCTACCATCCACATTTTAATGTAGATTAGTACTGTAATGTGATTGTTCAGCTCCAAAACTCCTCATACACTATTCTATTGAGTATTATGGTCAATTTTGCACTGACAAGTTCTGGCATTTTGCCTAATTTGAGCTCTCTGGTATTAACGGGATTTGTTTGTACACCAGTTTCTTGTTTGAGGTCTGTTACATCAGTCAGATAGTTTTGCAAGGTCCAAGCATATCTAAGCTGGTTTCATGGCATCACCTTGATCTCGGGTCTTTGAAGACACAACAGGCACATAGCGTTAGATCTATGACTCACAGTTCTGATCGCCCGCCTTTCACCAGAAAACCATCTGATAGTCGCCATATGAGACTACTTGCTGCCCACAATATGCGTAATTGACAATATTTCTTACCGTTAGATGACTTTTCCGGAACTGCTAACCATCACCGGACAAATCCACTTTGATCGTCATGGTTATCGATCAGACTTTAATATGAGCCTCCTCAGCCTTCAGAATGATGGATTTCAAGAGGTGAGGTGTAATTAACCTAGGATTTGCATCATAATTCTCTCTTCACAGTTTTTCATTTTCCCTGTCTGTTTGTCATCGTATATTTCTTTTTTGTATTGCCCGATTTCCCTTCGTGTAGGATCTCAGTTCAGTTGATAATATCCGTATAATCAAGGGATTTTCACCGAATATGGCCTACGTTAGATAAATGGGCGTGGGATGAAAAACCATATTTATAAGTTTAGAACATGTTTGTTTGAATTAAATAGGAAAGTTGTGTGAATGCGAGACCCATTCCAAATGAGGTCTGTCTTACGAACGTTGTGCTGTGACTCAACCACGAAAGGTCAAATCTCATTTAACGGCGTTAGCCTGCCTTCCAACCCCTATACATGCAGCAATTCTCCCAAAGTACTCTGTCTCTATAATCAAAAACATCACCACGTAGGCGCGGGAAATGTCGTAAATGGTTTATGGAGAAAGGTACAATAGAAAACTCAAAAATGTTGACTTCTTCTAGTTTTATGACACTCGCTGGAAACCACCAATTGGCGGTGCTGAAAATACGATCAAACAAGAACTCGATAACACTGAAAAAGATTTCTAATACCACCGTTTCGAAGTGCTTTCTTTTCCCAATCATTTTGGATCAATTAAATTTTCCGATAAGTGCGAATGAGTTATGCACATTGGCTGAAGCCCATCAGGCAAAGGCTTTCCCTAGCAGCACTTCATGTTTTCAAGCACACTGTTTTTTTCAGATTACCGCGCGGTGTATTTACCAATATCAAGCGATGTAATTTCTGATTGTCATTTTAAAGTAGGCTGTTAAACAACCGTGGCTCCTGATCAAACCAGTCCTTTAGTTAAGCTCTGTCTCTGATTTAATCACACACTTGCTCCGAGAATTCACTGGTTTTTAGTGAGTCGACTCAATATTTACTGACATGTCGGAGTTTAACTTGTGTTTTTTACTTATCCGCATTCAGTCAAGGAATTATTTTGTGAACGGGGCCAGATTTGTTAATCACAGACCATTGATTTTCTTAATGGTGTCTGTAGCTTTTAAATTTATTTCATCCACAAATTATGACAAATTAGTGAAACTTGCAAATTCTTTTATCAATCTACATTTGCAGATCGGTTACTGGACGCGAAGGGATAGTTGGCAAATAACTCGCCCAATAAAGAAGAAGAGGAAAGTGCCAAAGAAACCGCTCACATCGGTCACCCTGAGGGTGACAACCGTTCCGGTGTGTTCAACTTATTGTACCTCCCAGTCTTGAGTTTGAATAGAGGATTAAATATTGCAATTTTGGTTTCATTGAGGCTGAGAAGCGGGAAAATTAGCGAAACGATAAATTTACAATTCATTCGGGACCGCTAAGTCAACTGACTTTTTTAGGAAAAACGGGATAAGGAATTTAAAATTTGTCTAGCTTAAAGTGTCAAACACAATTTTAAAGAGGCTTGTAGTCACCAATTTGGCAAATCTTGTTAAAAAGATTTTGATAAGTCTCTAGCTGAGGAGATTGGTTTTTCAAAACGCTAAAAAGAGCTTCACTAGAAAACTGGAGGTTAAAAGGTGGATCAGCTATATGGTACACACTACGAGAAAATGATGGTTACTCAGACGAATTGCAACCACTATAGTCGATCGAGAGGAAACGAGGAACTCACTTTTTTCGTTTTTTAGGACACACCCTTTGTGATTCCGAAAAAGTATGACGCTTACGGTCAACCATTGAAAACTCCCGACGCCTGGGAAGGCTACTGTGTTGATCTCCTTAACCTCATTTCCCAAGATGTTGGCTTCAATTACACAATCGAAATGGCCAAGGACAGGAGCTATGGATCGCGTCATGTTAATAAATCTGGCGACGTCTACTACAACGGCATCGTCGGTGTGGTCCATAGAGGTGTAAGTATTAGGAGTCTTATTTTGGCGTACTTTACTCACACACCCATTTTGCAGCTCATACAAACCTAACACCTAAAAAACTTTGGCATATTGCGTACAGTGACGGCGTTGATTTCAACATTGACACCTTTTTTTCCTATTTACTAGCTCGGGGGTCATGGGATACAACTCCCAAAAAAGTTGCCACCTCTAGTTTAATGGGCAGGGTTCAAAAGGAAAATGTTTCAGGGACTGCTGTTAGTACTTCGGTCAGGTGTAAAAGAGTTCATCCGTAGCGCCTTTGCTTTATTCTCTGTCCAATGGGCGCATGGAGTTTTGTGTTCGATTTTTATCAAGTGAAATGTATCACCATGAAATCGTTGTGGCTCACGTGACGCTTTCAGGAATCCTTTAAGCTCAGGTCACCGCAACTCCGACATCAACTTGCATTTCTGCAGTCATAGGCAACCTCGGACAGTGTGCAACGTGTGGCCACGTTCCATCACACATCTGACGCAAGAATCTGTTTTTTTAAATAAAAGCAGATTAACCTTGTACATGTAATTTCCCAAGGTGTAATTTGAATGCCTTTATCACATTAACAGGAGGCAGACATGGCCGTAGCAGCCCTGACAATCACGTATGAGAGGGAGCAGGTACTGGACTTCAGCACACCTTTCATGACTCTTGGCGGCAGTCTTCTTTTCATGAGGCCGAAGACGCAAAAGCCATCCATATTCTCGTTCCTCCAGCCACTATCACCAACCGTGAGTTGTTTAGCATTATTTCAACTAATCGGAAAAAAATTGATTGATTTTCCCATGTTTCACCTTTTCAAACTCCACATCCCTTATTATGTTCTGTCCACTATCGCGATTTTGTTTTTTTTTGTTTTCTGAGCATTCTGTTACATTTACTATCCTACTTCTTCCAGTTTTGTCACCTCAACTTTTCCTGATTGATGTATTCTAACATTACCGACATAATGAGAATGATAAGTTAACTTATTTATTTGGGCGAAGCATTCCAGTTGGACAGGCCTCTTATGTTTAATTCTTTTGAGTGCACTCGGACCCTAACTACATGAAAATGTGGAACTCAACTTGATCCTTGGACACAACTTTTAAGTAAAGCTCTAAGTTTGCATTCGGTGGTCCAATCTAACAACAAAAGACAATTCAGCAGTAGATTGGTTCAGTGTTTTTTAAGCAGCTTAACAGTGGCACATCAATGACTGTCGTTAGTAAACGATATAAATTTGACTTCAAAGTAAAAGGGAGCTTGGAATTTGGTACACTTTCGTTTGACTGATCAAACCTTACATGATACTGATCATTGACGACCTCGAGAGTATAATTAGCATCTAGTTTGGTACAGACTGATGTAATCACAATCACATCCTGTTTGCGGGCCGTTAAAGCACAAATGTACGCATAAAATTTGGTGGCAACGACTAGGTAGCCGTATTTTCAAACGAGGTTTTTGTTGACCTCGAGGCAAGACCCAAACCATTCTGGGATTCTGCTAATTTAGGAAATTCTCTACCCACATTTTTACACTGGCTTTAAGTAAATATCCAGTCTTAACTAATGAACATATTTCAGTCAAGGATTTTCGGACATTTTGCGTTAACTTTTGTGTTTATGCACTAACAAAACACCTTAGCTAACTCGATATACCTTGAAATATTTAGCCGCATGATGTTCGTGGGCATTCAGGTCTGTTTATTCAATGTAGTTTTGGCATGGATCACCCACAATAGCAGTAAAAAGGCTAAATATCAGCCTAGAACAAAAGTAATTTCCTTGTACAAGATTTTTATCTAAAATAATGCCTGTTCATGGAATTGTGACAGCCGAAACCATAAAGGAGAAAGCTTTTAATAACTGCATTTATTTATAAGGAATGGCCATTACATTTATATCTACGTCGTATTTTAGTACAATTGAATTATCCTGGAAAAAAACTTCGTATGTTATTCTGCTATCCGAGCAATAGAGACTCGAAGCGTTTACTTTTCAACTTGACACCAGTCATTTTCATTTCAAATTTGTTGATACTCAAGTGAAATATATCTGCTAAAAGCGACTGGAAGTTTTTCAAAAATCCGGTCTTTTTTTCTGCACTCAATATCTACAATTCTCAAACGAACAATTCTAAAAAAATTTATGTCATTTAAACAATGGCTCCTAAGACAGGACCTTTACTCGTACAAAAGGAACTTACTGGCCCTCAATGTAACAACGAGAGTTTTGAATGCTAACTCTACTCCACGTTTACTAGATCCACCCACGACTTAGAAGCATTTGAAATTGCGCCCCATTTTTTTCTGGAACGATAAGAGTAATTTAAGAAGGCAAGAGTAGGTAAAAAGCAATCTGATTTAGCCATGGTACTCTAGTTTCAGAGCACTACCTCCTCGGATCTAATAACATGCAAGTTCTTAGCATCACTTCCCATTCTGTCACGTTTGGATATAAAATATAACGAAGCCACTTACCACATATGCGCAATATTAATCGTTTTTTGTATTAGTTAAAGTTTACTTGCTTAAATTGTTTACTGGATAGGTGTGGGCCTACGTGATAACGACCTACATCGTCGTGTCTGTTGGCCTCTTCCTTGTTGCTCGCCTCAGTCCCTACGAGTGGCAGAACCCTCATCCCTGTGAGACATTTTCGGACGAAAAGGAAAATCAATTCACCATTCTGAGCAGTTTTTGGTTCTTTATTACACCCCTACTGAATCAAGGTAAGACATCTTTGCTCTTGGTTACATTCTATTCCACACTCGGTGCACTTTGAGTGCTTAAGGGCTTTGGACCTTTGATTTGGTTTTTGCTCCAACCATGGGTAATACAAAATGTATCATCCCAGATTAAAAGGTCCTTCGACCTCCCTGGCCAACTCACGGGGTTAACAAATTACCAAAGCGATTCCTAATGTCAGCTTTCTCTCTGCTTATTGTACTGCATTTACTTACAAAGCCCATGGTTTCTGATCTCTGAATTTTCTTGTCTAGTTTTGTAGTTGTAGAATACGTGAAACTAGATTTTAGACCCTCGGAATTCGTCTGCATTCATTTTTTTATTTGTTTATACTTCTAAGTACCTCTTTCACGCCATCGGAACCCTTTATCTGGCAATTAATACTTGAGCAGTACCTATTGATGCTTTTAAATCAGCCTGGTTTAATCGAAAGTATTTAATTAGGTTACATAAACCGTATTTATGCATCCTCAGGTACTGAGATGGCTCCACACTCCATATCTACCCGACTACTGACAGGAATTTGGTGGTTCTTTGCCTTAATTCTCATATCAACGTACACCGCCAACTTGGCTGCTTTTCTAACGGTCGACACTACGGAGCTGCCCATCGAAAGTGTGGAGGACCTTGTGGAACAAACAAAAATCAAATATGGAACACTTCAGTCCGGGTCCAGTCATGATTTCTTTAAGGTATGTGGGAAAGACTGTGAGTCGCCTATTAAATATTTATTGCCTTTTAACCTACTCTCAGTAAAAATCTAGCTCAAGACCTTTAAATTTCTTCACTAGGTGGACCTTGTCAATTACTCTCCCTTCTCAATTTCAGAATTTGTAGGTTAACTTGTTATGAATTGAGACAAATCCTCGATTCGCCGACATGTGTGAATTTGTGGCAAGCTTAATTTTGTGAAACAAAATTTTTCTGTTATGCGTGAAACGTGTGTTCTGAAATTCTTCAAACAGCACCACTAATAATGACATCAAATTGTGATATTACCCTTTAGTAACGATAACCTTCCATAACAACGGTAAAACGACTAAAGATAAAAAGAAAATTGAAGAATTAAATCCCACACAAAGACAAATGTTGTTGACTTCGTAAAATTCACCCTTTCTCAAGAATTCCATTACCTGAGCCAATTGACCTGTAATTTAGATTGCAAAAAATCATCTACAAGCAACAGTTGTCGAAAACACCGTTCATTGTCTCTGCTCAGGCAATGGGTATCAACACGCCATCTCCGTGATAAGCCTTCGTCTAAACAAAATGAGTGATCCCCTTTGCTTCTGAAATTGAATTTGATTCGTACCCTGTTGTTACTTAAATTGACTCATTCACCTCCTAACTACCACTTTTTCTTAAGAATGGAGTTTGTCATAATCTAATTTTTCAAATATTTGCCCGTGATTCGTCATCGTTAACATTTTAGTATTCTAGAATCCCAGTATTTCAAAGGATGTGGGAATTTATGTCAACCAATGACGTCTTCGTACAAAACACCGAGGAAGGTATTGAGCGTGTTCTCAAAGGGGATTATGTTTTTGTTCTCGAGTCCTCCTGGAACGAATTCTACAACAAACGCGATTGCCGTCTCATGCAAATCGGTCGTTTGCTGGACTCCAAGGGCTATGGAATAGGATTGCAGCAGGGTAATGTTTCCGGTTTCTTTGGATTTCCTGCAGATCTCCTTAGGTATTTAGGGTTATACAATGTAGTATCTTGTTCGGTGTTAACTAATCTACTCGTTATCTATCGTTGTTTAGTAACGTTTATTTTACGATGTTGACTTGCTGCAAATTCTAAATAGATTGATTTTTAATCCAAACCAAGTTTTAGTGAATTTGTTTTAAGAAAAGGTTCAGTAGTGTCTAATTTAGACCTTCCAATGTGCTTTTAAGCTTCGGACATTTTTAACTCCATTTGCCAAATTTTTACTCCACCTCTTGCTATAATTCTGGCAATTATTGTTGTCAGGTTGCAGTTACATTTCAAATCCAATGACAGCTACTTGGTGAGCCAGCTGCTGGTCACATGTGAATTTCGTGGAACTGCTGGTGACTAAGCCTGCATCTTCAGTTAAGAAACTTCTAGTATCAAATCATTCCCACGTGCTAATAAGAGCCAGGAATTTGAATGTTAGAGATTAAGAGATAAGTGCGTATAAGTAGTGTAGCGACGAGAACCCTTGAAATCCATTTTCGATTGTCATTATATAAGCTTAAAGTTGACAAAGCGCCCTAACCTGGTGAAAGCGTGTTTTTTTTATGAGCCAGCACGGGTTAAAGTTCATTCAGTGGTCTAGCATTAAAAACATTTAAAATGACTCAATTCCAAAATTTCACCAAATACATCTTCGAAGAATTGAAGAACCGTGATCTTAAGTGTTTCATGGTAAATTAACATTTTGCCACGCACGCATTATAAATATGAAAAATTTCCAAAGAACTTCAGTTGTTTGCTCAACAGTCACTGCAGCCGATTCGACTAGCCGGCTTTTGTGAAGCCTAATTATTATTTACTAAGCATGGCCTCGTCAGCCAAGTTTCGGTTTCTCCATGACAACATAAGGCTTTCCATAAAAATATTCTCCCTTTATTACCTGTCCAATGCATTTATCCTTGTGTGAGAGATGGATACGTTGACTTATCTGTAGTAAACCGTCTTTGGTAGTATAACCTTTATAAAATTATAAACGGCAAATCATTCATTAGAAAAATGTGAGACAAATGGGATTATAAGTTGTTTTCAAGAGGCGATCCTAAAATTTATATCAGATCAATAAAGTTAGTTGAAGGGATATTTTACTATTCAAAATCATTCTATTTCTCGCCCAAAATTCCATCAAAACTAAGGATAAAATAAGAATCACTCAACCACCTATCTTGTCACATACCGCCTTCACTTAAGTCGAACTATTGAGCGCGAAAAATGCTTCGAGCTCCTAAAGGCTTTCATGTATAACGTGCTATCCGACAGTGGAACTAACAGACGTAGCTACTTTCAAGTCTCCCATCAGTATTAACCACTCCACCAAAAGCGACATGAGTAGATCGTTTGACACCAGGTACACTTTCGTCAACTAAATGCAATGAGGAGGGTGCACAAGGTGGAGCAGAAGCAAGATAGGATAGTTGCCTGAACATGATGGATATGTGCATCACTTTATGAAAAATGATCACTTGACTAGTCATGGCCGAAGTCTGCATTTAAATTTAAATGGCTGCGTTATTGTGGGGCATATACGAATGTTTGAAAACAGAACAGCTGCCTTATCATCGATGCAACGAGTGAGTAGAATGAGGTGTAGAAAGGAGACGCGGATCGTAGGATGATGCTAAAGGGAGTAAATGCAAGCCCAGGTGGCGTCGGTTGTCAAGATGTTCTACCACACACATTGTGGCACAAAATCCGCTCGATGTTTATCAAGCGGCTAAAACACCTATGTTTGCAAAGCAGTCCTGAAGGATAAATTAGCTATTTAATTATGTCTTTTTTATTTGCATTAGGCACCCTTTTACTGACAATGTTGTTTTTCTTCTACTTTACCAAAGGTTCGCCATATCGTGACCCAATATCGGAATCCATTTTAAAACTTCAAAAGTCACAGACATTGGATCAACTTAAGCGTAAATGGTGGACTGAATTTAACATATCTGAGCCCTGCACTAACACGAAGGACAGCAGTAAGGAGGCCAAACCACTTGGAATCGAACAAGTCGGTGGAGTATTTGTTCTTCTTATCATTGGATTTTTCTGGGCCTTCATAGTCTCCATTATCGAATTCTGCGTTCACAATAAAGCCTGTATGAAAACGCAAGTAAGCCATTTACTCTTGTTCAGGAACCATAATCACAAATTATATTAGTTATCAGTACATTTTACTTTGAAAGTGCAACTTCTGTTAAGTGGCATCCAGTGCTTGGGACTCTAACAAGGGAGTTTACCTTTTCGTAAACTCACAAAATATCAAATACTTCCTATAAAGTCCTGACTTAATGCGATTTTTTAAAAAAACATCCTTTTAGGGAGCATTGTTCTCGGAAATGTGGAAGGAACTAAAATTTGCAATGAGGTGCATGACGCCTTCAACTCGGGCGAAGTCGTCAATAGTTGCGATTCCGGAACAAAAGCCCCCGAATTCGCCAATGCCAATGGCCGACCAGTTGGCTGACCACGAAGTCACTGAATCTGCACCCGTGACGTCTCAACACTTGCTATTTGTGCCTATGACTGAGTCAAATGAGGTGCTACTTAGTTCCGTTTGTGAGTCTTCTTCCTGTGAGGCAACAAGCGGGGAAGACTCCTT